TCTCAGTCTGCATCAGTCCGTGAACCAAGTCCTCAAGAGCCCATCTTTACCTACACTACCCTGCCTGTTCCGACCCTCTAGAGAATGCTGAATGCTGCCCATTTCTGTACGGAAAGTCTTCCTAGAGGAACAGAATTTCAAGGATGAATATTTTGAACTGATGTCTGACATACAGCACTTACGTGATACATTCATGACAGACACCGCATCGCAGCTACCCTGTCTTCCCTTAGTCCATGCAACCTGAGGAGTGGACTTTGGGTTAGTTTACTTGAGGCTTTTTAATTTCACACCAAGTACAAGGACATGAAGCAGATGAGTGAAAGTCACTCAGGATGACCTTCCTTCCCGGTGAGCTGGCTCATGTTTATAGAAGTCTGCAGCCCCCCCCCCCCCCAATCTGGACGTGAGCACGGCTACGGAGCTGCCTGTGGGTCCTGAGGTACCAGCGGGCAGGGGGAGCCTGAGTGTGGGGGAGCATTCTGGGTGTATCTGTGGGGGCAGCTGGGGACCAGCCCAGTGAGCTGGATGCTCTCTGCAGGCGTGGGCACCATCTGAGCCGCTAAGGGGCCACGGAGGTCCCTGCCTGGCAGCTGCAGCAAGACACCAGTTTTCTGTCCTTGTACCGGGACTCTGCCACAGCCTGAGAAGGGAACTCGCACCGCTGGCTGTCCTGGGTTACCATCCCTGTTAGGTATCAACTAATCCACAGCAAGATTTGTTAATGTAGCACTGTCCTGACACCAGCATGCACTCAGATCACATGCACAGCCTCGGGAGCAGACCCCTGTGGGAGGACTCGCACTCACCTGGGGCTGCCGCTCTCCGAGTTCCACTCGTCTCTTGGCTCTTGCTTCAGAGTAGCTGAGTGAGCACCATTCTCATCTTCGTATGCTTTACTCAAAAATTATTTTCTACTTCTTGTTGCCCATTTGTAGAAATTCAACAAACCCTCGTATACTGACCTTGTATTGCGGAGGGTACCCTGCCGTATTATGTGTGTGTAGTTTTTAATCTTTTGTTGTACTAGAGGTTGAACTCAGGCTGAACTAAAGCCTCAACTCAGGCTGAGCTACTTCGTCTGCATGTGAGGGCAGCAACCCCAAACACGCCTCAAGACCCGATCTGTCCCCTCCTGAGCTCACTGAGGACACTCACGTACTGTCCACCGCCATTTCCACTTGGGTGTCTTAAAAGCATCGCAAACTGAATCTGCTCAAAGAAGAATTCTGCATTCTCTTTTTCTCAAATAAAGCCCAGCTGAGAATCAGTCTTCACACTGGTTTCCTCCGCTGCTGATAGAAGGTCACCTGCCGGCTGTCCAGGAAATCTCGAGAGTCTGCGCGCTCCCTTCATTTACTCTCACGTTCCAAAATCAACCCGTGAGCATGTTCTCCGGATTTTCCCTAGCATGAGTCAGTTCAAGCTCTCTCCATTCCCACTGCTGCCGGGCTGGTGTAGGTCACCCGTCAGTGGCCGGAATTACTTCTTACTGCCCTCTTCCTCACCTATGATTACTTTCTAATGGGCAGCAAGATTGACAGCTTAAAGCCTTTATCTTGAGTCTTGTCACTCCCTTGCTGAATGGGTCCAGTGTCACAACGCACTCTGAGTGAAATCCAGGTCCCTATGGTACTGAGGACCCCAGGTCTGGCCCTGCTTCTCTCTGCACAGCACCGTGCTGGCCTGGGGTCTGGCGCAGCCAGTGGGTCCTGGTAGCTGCTGCACCCTGGCCCTCAGTTTCTTGCCCAGCTCTCTGCGTGGGGCTCCTGCCCCTGCCATCAGCCTTACCTCCTCCTTGTCCTTCCTGCAGAGCTGGATGCTCGTGTCTCACAGGCATCTCGGACAGCCTCAGCAGGACACGCATCTCATGAGGCCAGGTACTGTGACTGCCTCGTTCCTGGCTCTGTCCCTGTGCCTGGTACTGCTTGAGAGGAGCTCAGGCCCCAAATGCTAAAGCAGTGTGTTCAACACCATACAGCTGGCAAGAAGTGGGCTGAAGTCTGGACTCAGGCTGTCCTGATTGCAAGGGCATGTTCTTCCCCAGGGTCCCTACTCTGTCCAGGGCCACCTGCTCCAGGCCTTTCTGCTGCACTTACATCCCTTGGTCCCATACAAAGAAGCCCTAAGTCTGCGCCATTCATTGCCTTCCAATTAACTGTGCCATTTTGTCACTAAGCATTTACTGCCATGTACTGTGGGTGCCAACTTCTCATCCACCCGATGTGATTAATATCAGAACCACGCGCTGTATGTCTAATTATTTGGACTCCGACTCTTAGGAGCCGCACCTTCAGTGATGACGTCAGGGGCACAGGGAGCTGGAGTGTCTGAATACAGAGCTGCCAACAGGTGTGCAGACCCGCACACTGCCC